AATAATAATAATAATAATAATAATAATAATAATAATAATAATAATAATAATAATTGTATTAAAAATTAAATAACACAAATGACACAAATACCCTTCAACAATTCTTTTGGCAAAGTAAAAAAAGGGGCAAATTGGACTTTGCACCATTTTGGTGTTTTGGTCAAAAAATGAATAGTGTTGCACCACAAAATTTGGTGCCACATTGGAGCACTTTTGCACCAAATTTTGGTGCATTTTAGTGTTTTGGTATCTCGATTGGAGACACCCTTACATGCTAGACTTGATTATGAATATCCATAGAAGTTAAGATCAATTCTATTCAGCTCTGTTTGGTACACATTATTTTTTTTATTCTCATTCTTCTACTCATTTTCATCCACACATTCTTCAATAAAATAATATTTTTCATCACATCAATAACTTTTCCTTCATTTTTAACCACATATTCTCCATCAATCTACTATTTAATAATACATTCTTTTAAAAGAATGTGTCCCAAACATACCATCAATTGGCAAATAGTATAGCAATGAGTGCCATGTCCTAATGAGGTAATCCAGTATGGTACTTTAGCGCCATTGGTACTAAATAACACTATTCTTACAAAAATAAAATTTTTACGGCAATGATAAATTGCTGATGTGGATCGCCATGTCATCCATGATGACACATTGCTATCTGACGTGACAAACTTACATGTCTGCCCCCCTCAAGGTTGACCACGCAAACTCGCGTTGCTCCGCCCCGAAAGGAATGAAGAAATCTCCGAAGAACCACCAGCGGATCTCGGGCATTTGGTGGTTCGCACTGGTTGCCACTGCCTTGAAACTCCTCCTTATCCCCGCCTACCGGAGCACAGACTTCGAGGTCCACCGCCACTGGCTGGCTCTCACTCACTCTCTCCCCCTCTATCGCTGGTATTCCGACACCACCAGCCCATGGACAATCGACTACCCACCTTTCTTCGCTTACTTCGAGAAATTCCTCTCCTTCTTCGCTTCTCTTGTGGACCCCACCATGACTCACCTCCATAAAGGCCTTAACTACGCATCCCCTCTCGCAATCCTCTTCCAACGCCTTTCTGTTATCTTTTCAGATGTTGTTTTAATTTACTCCATCCGTAAATTAAGCAAAGATCTTAAGAAAACTGAGAAATTCTTGATCTGGGCTTTGATTATTTGGTCGCCCGGATTGTTTATTGTTGATCATTTGCATTTTCAGTACAATGGGTTTTTGTTGGGGATGTTATTGTTATCCCTTTCTTATTTGGAGGAAGGGAGGGATGTGATGGGAGGATTTGTTTTTGCTGTCTTGCTGTGTTTTAAGCACCTTTTCGCAGTTGCTGCGCCTGTTTATTTTGTGTATTTGTTTAGGCATTATTGTAGGGGTGGATTCGTTAAGGGGTTTGGTAGGTTGGTGGTAATGGGAAGCGTTGTTTTGACTGTCTTTGCCGCAGCTTATGGACCTTTTGCATATTATGGGCAGGTAAAGATTTCTCCTTTTTTAGTTCAATAGAATTTAAAACTGTCCAATTGTCGATTGCTTGCAATGCGAGAAAGAAACTGTGACACAGCATCGTTTCTTTATGTCGAGTTGCTTGAATTTTGTGTTGACTGCTGACTCTTGCTTCTTATGTACCAGATACATTTACATGGCTTCGATTGTTTTTGGTCGAGACCTTTGTGTTACTTCATGAGATGTTTATGTTCTATGACAACAAGCGTGAGAATTGTAGTATAGTTAATTGGACTTGGGAGACTGGAATAGCAAGTTGTGAAATTGTCACTGTTTTGAGCGTGCTAATTTGAATCTCGATGACATCTCCTAAGGAGCAACCTACATAATATTGCCATTATTTTGATCATTGTTATTTTGAACTGGGGCCAGTGCTTAAATGATTTCTTTTGTCCAATTTGATGATCATATTTTGTTTGATTGTGAGCCAGGTATTGTTTAGTACAATAGTTGTGCTTAACAGTGAAACTAAAGGTTTTTGAATCGAGTTCAATGTTTCATTTCCTTTTGTGCCAATTGGAAGATATTATAAAATTGCATGAAGTGGACATTTTTACTTTCTGATCACTTTATTGCACAAGTATTTTATCAAACAGTTGTGTATAGATTTGCATCGTTTTTGTACTTTTCACCTTGCAGATACAACAAGTTTTCCGCCGCATGTTTCCTTTTGGTCGGGGACTCTGCCATGCGTATTGGGCTCCAAATTTTTGGGTATTCTATATCATTTTGGATAAATTGCTTGCCTTTTTATCTGTGAAACTGGGGTTTAACATCCAAGCACCAACAGCTTCATTCACCGGTGGGCTAGTAGGGGATTCTTCACCTTTTGCTGTATTACCCACGGTAACAATGTCTAGTCTCTTATTAAATGTACTGTGGATCTAACTTCTGCCATTGTTTTTAAACCACCTAACCAAGTCATTGATAAGGAATGTTCAAAACTGATTACAGAAATTAAGGCACTTTGCCTATAGTCCTGCAATTAGAATGATGTCTGAAAAATCAGACCACTGGCAGAATTGTTTGTTGTCATGTTGAACATTCTTTCTCAATAAGTTAGGCAAATATGCAAAGCAGATCTTCTGGCATGGTTATCTGTTCATCTATTAATCACTTGATGATGTGAAACACGAAAAAATTAGTCTACTGATTCATTAGATAATAAATGCAGATCACCCCTTTGATCACACTCATCACGGTCCTTCTTGCAATAACTCCTTGTCTCATAAAGGCTTGGAGAGATCCCCAACCAAGGATGGTTACGAGATGGGTAGCCTACGCTTATGCTTGTGGATTTCTATTTGGGTGGCATGTTCATGAAAAGGCATCACTTCACTTTGTGATTCCCCTTTCCATTACTGCCCTGAAAAGTGCAGAAGATGCTAAGCATTACTTCTTTTTGTCCATGGGTACGATAATGCTCCCTCTTTATTCTCTTGAAGCATTTTTACTCTCTGATGAAATGTAGGCATAGATTTTTATGAGTGCTACATTTCTTTGTCTGGATTTAACCCTTTATTTTTTCATTTAATGATATAAAGAAGAGTTGGCACCGTTAGATAATACAAGATTATTGACATTGGTATGATTATTTAATTGGTTCTCCTGAAATTATATTCCAAAGCACACCCCTTATTTCTCACAGTGCCCCTGTAAAGGCTTTAACTCCCTACACTACCTTAGCAACGGTTGAGTTTAAAGGCCAAATTAAAAAAGATTTTATTAACAACAATATTTTCTTTACAAACACACACCTTGTACTTTCTCTCTTGCACACTCACTCTCTTTGCACTCTTTCACTTACACTCAAATACACTACTTATGTGTTGAGCGCACACACACACACACATATATAGATATTGGATTCTTCTACACAAATGTTGACGATTATAGATAATTCCATAAATTAATTATAATGAATTCTCATGGACTCTAGAATAATGGTGATGTATGGATTCTTATAGGTTTCTCAAATTAGTTGCATAAGGAAAGATCTAAAAAATTGGTGATGATTCTTCAATTCTCCCCTTCAGCACCAATTTTTTATTTTCTTCACGTCCAACTTTGTCTCGATGAATTTTGAAGTGCTTGATTCTTCATTCAATGCATCCACTCCTTTAAATATATTTGGCTCTTCCATGCTTTCATCTTCATCAATTTTGATACTCAATTTCTCATGTCTACTCAATTTTCTTATTTATGGTTGCAAATTTGTACGTACCTCAATATCTTTTTGATTCTTTCGATCATCCGTTAGTGTTTCTTGGTCCACATCATTTTGCCTAGGAATCTGTGTTGCTCTTGTACTCTCTACTTTTATATTTGATATATGTAGATCTTTAAATCCCTCAACGCTTTGTTGTGCTTTCATGACCTCCTCGTGCAATTTGTCTTTCGTTTCCTTTGAATCTAGTAGTTTCAGCCTCTGCGATGTCTTCAAAGAATATACTTCTTCAAATACCTCTTCTGAGTCTATTAGTTCCTCCCTCTGCGGAGTCTACCAAGTAGACTTTTCATGAACCACGATGTCATCTCCTACTTTATCTGTCCAATTATCTTCTTCTGATTCATCGATCCTATCAGTTTCTTCGGAGTCATCATCCAATCACTTTCATAATCTATTTGTTCAGGCAGGACCACTACCAGCGCTGATTCATCCTTTATACTTGAATTGATTTTCTTTTCTCTAGCTTGCTCAATTACTGTTGTGGATGCCACAACATCCCATTCTTCTTCACTATCATATTTCTCTTGCTTGTTCGAGGTTGCCATATTGCCTTCTGCTGGCTTTTTCCTAAATCGACGTTCTCTAGCATAATGGCCTCGTTTGCCACATACAAAACACGAGTCATCAGTTCGTTGAAATTCCTTAAACGGCTGACCTCTCTTGTCGCGACTTTGTTTTGCTCCCCTTATCATAGAACCTTCTCCATTTTCTTTTAATTCCTTATTTTGTTGACTGAGTCGACCTCTTCTTTTATAATTATATAGTGCTTCTTCATCTTCTTTCTTTATTGAGACCCCTAACATTTGTTTAGTTAACGCTTCTTGGTCGGCCAGCAAATTTTTGAGATTGACCAGTGAAGGTTGCTCTGGTCAATCTTGTATAGCAGCAATGAATCCTCTAAATTCGGGTTTCAAATCATGCATAATTATTCTTCTCATTCTAAACTCCGAAATCTTGCTTGAAGAATCTAATTTTGAAATTTCGCGACAAAGAGATTTAATTTTATTAAAATATTGATTCACCGTTTGTTCTCCTTGAGTGATCGAGAGTAGCTCATTTTCCAACAATTGCAATCTCAAGTCATTTTTCTTTGAAAATAGAGCGGCTAGAGTGTCCCATGCTTCCTTTGGTGTAGACTTGTCTCTTATATGCTCCAACAATTCTTCCTCAATTGTTGTCTTTACAACGAACATGGCCTTACCCGCTTTAATTCTCCATTTCTTCAGAGCTCCGGCCTCCTCTGGTGGCATTACGTCACTTCCACCAACGACTTCCCACAAATCTTGCCTTGGAGATACGACTCCATGCAAGTTTGCCATGTAGTGTAGTTCTGATTATTGAGTTTCTTTACTCCGCCTACCACTTGGAGGTCACCCATCGTGACTTGATTTACCTCTTCGTAATCAAGCAAGCTTTACAAAAGCTTCATAATCTCCTTTTGTGCACGAACTCAAGAAGCCCAAAAATTCGTCTCCGACCGCCTCGCTCTGATACCAAATTGTTGAGTTTAAAGGCCAAACTAAAAATGATTTTATTAAAAACAATATTTTCTTTACAAACACACACCTTGCACTTTCTCTCTTGTACACTCACTCTTTATGCACTCTTTCACTTACACTCAAATACACTACTTGTGTGTTGAGCACACACACACACACATATATATAGATATTGGATTCTTCTACACAAATGTTGACGATTCTAGATAATTCCATAAATTAATTATAAGGAATTCTCATTGACTCTAGAATAATGGTGATGTATGGATTCTTATAGGTTTCTCTAGTTAGTTGCATAAGGAAAGATCTAGAAAATTGGTAATGATTTTTCAGCAACATCACACCGTACAACATTAACACATAATAAGTGTACCTCGTTGTGCAGAGATGTATAGCCTTTAAACTATTATAAACTTGATTCATAAGATCTCAATTTGGTCATTGGGGTGCTGTAATGTTTTCCCGAGCATTGATATCATGGTTAGTACGTTGCGAACGTCTTTGATGAGCATGAATATTGCAGATGATGTCTTTTCCTTGAATGCATAAACTGCTCCTCAATTTCTGTATTTCCTTATATTTGAGTAGATATGATTTTAAAGTTTCCTTATTTTTCTCTCCAAAATAGTAATTCTGAATTTGTTTATTTTCTTAAGTTTTGTAAAATTTCTACCCACACACATACACATTTAGGCGTCGTTTAAATATTTCAGACCATGGATCTTGTGCATTGGTGGATAGGACTGGGGACTTCTTCAATAGGTTTTGGTTTTATTTTTGGAGCAAAATACGGTCTTTCTTTGGGGTTTGGGGTATAGCAAATGTGTGCAAGGATAATGTTGTTGCATAATGGGGTATGCTGATTATTTTGGAAGCTTGAGGGGAGTGGAGGCTGCCACCTCCCCTAGGTCTGTCATTTTAGTCATTCCCAGCAAGCTCTTTGTTCAGGCCTCTCTTTAGCCACTGTTTGAACCCCATTTTAGGGAAGAAATGTGTTTTTGAATAGTTTTTTTNGTTTGAACCCCATTTTAGGGAAGAAATTTGTTTTTGAATAGTTTTTTTTTTTTTTTTGAGAATGTGTGGTTAAAAAATAAGAAAAAGTTTTCGGTTTACGCGTAAAATTATTTTATAGGAAAATGTGCGGTAGAAAATGAGTTATAAAAAAAATGTGTTTTTGGAAAAATGGAGGCCAAACGTAGGCTTAATAATATTATCAATATGTTTTATGCAATAAAAAGTATGGCCACCTAATTCTTCATGCTGGGGCATGTGGGCTTCATAGCACGGTGAACAAAATGGTGCTAAAAACTCTACTCTATGGCTTACAGACTTGAATCTTTACACGGAAAATTTAGAGTAAGGAAGACTGTTATCTGCCTGCAGCAGTAGGAAGATGAACAATCTAATTTCTACTTATAACATACTGGAAACATGTGTAACTGCAGTGCTATTTAGTACCGATCATTTTTAAAAACCTTTATATGGAGACTAATGCACATCTCTCATTTGTGCAGTGTCGTGCTACTCACTCTTTCCTCTTCTATTTGAAGCTCAAGAGTATCCCATTAAAGTTTCATTACTTCTCCTACATGCTATTCTCATGTGGTTTGGCTTTTCCTCTCATTTCTCTGAAAGTAAAGTTGGAAAAGCAAGTTCATCAGTGCCGGAAAAAGATGACAAATTAAGAAGTCCTAATATTGATAGGAATGCCGAGTTTGTAGTTGGATGGTGTGGCAAGGCCTATCTGTTCGGCTTATTTGTTGTTGAGATATGGGGACAGTTTCTTCATCCTCTCATTTTTGGTAACAGGCTTCCGTTTCTCCCCTTAATGATGATTTCAATTTATTGTGCACTAGGAATGACATACTCTTGGATATGGCAATTAAGATGTATCGCCAAGTCTCGTTGATTACACGTTTCTTATAGCCCTTCTCATCCCAACACACATCACAGACAGTTTTACTAGGTTTTTGTTGTATTTCGAGGGAGTTTACCAGACAGCCAATTTTACACAGTAACAGAAGTGACTCGATGTTCTTCGTCTTTTTTTTTTCTGAACTGAAGTCTTGTCAGGTACTTTTTATATTTCTTTTCTAATCTACTGACAACATGGAATAAGGCTTAAAGGGCATGCTTATTTTGGATCAGATGACATCCAACTGAATACAAATCTGAATTCTGTGTATTTGAAATATCTATGGGGAATAGAACAGATGTTTTTGGACTGATTAAAGGTGTGTTACAATAAGGTCACATTGATCTATAGATCCTCGACCAAGAGACTGTATCTGTTGGAATATATGAAAATAGCATTTAAGCCACAGCAAATCACGTGCAGATTCAGTCCAGTTCACCAGCAAACCATCTCTCCAGTTCACAGCCATCAGCACAAGTTCAACAGCAGCACCTTCTTCCAGCTTATTCTAGTTTCTTCTAGATTGTTCTTATGTTTGTTATCTTGTTAGTTTGTTAGATAAGTTGTTAGTTTTTCTCTATAAATAGATTAGTTGCCTTGTAATTTCCTTAAGCAAGTATGAATAAAGTTCATCTTCTTCCCTG